ACAGGAACGCAGTAAAACGCATCAAAAACGCACCTGAATGTACCTAAATGCAACAAAAACACACCAGGACACACATGTCCTTATTTAAGTTGAAAAAAAAGAGAGGGGAAAAAAAGAACTGGAACGCATAATAAACGCATTGGAACACATAATAAACGCATTGGAACACGTCACAATGCATCAAAAACGTGTATACAGACTGCATTTCTATGGTGTGAACCGGCCCTAAATGTGTAAACACACAAGTAATTACTGCACTCACATAAAAAATGTTCTGTTTTTGTTTTACTGCTCTGTACTCAGCACTGTACTATTGATCTTTACTCAGCTATGTGCAATGTCCCATAGACAACAATGCATCTCATTTCAGATCCATAAAAAACTCAGCATTTATTAGTCCTACGTGCAACAGGCCTACGAGATTTTAGTCATTGAGATTATATCTGCTTTAATTAACCAATTTCCCGCCGCCCTATAGCAGAAATACTGCTACAGGGCGGCAGGAGTGCGCAAAATCACGTGTATTTATACATAATTTTGCATTTCCGGGTAGGGGACCAGCACCGCCATTCGTGGCCTCGGCTGTCAATCACCAGGTTGCGGACAGTGATTACTCGCCGGCACCCAGCGATCGCAGAGTATTACCAATGGGGGAGAGAACTGTATGTAAACAATATAGTTCTCTCCCCTCTCAGCTTCAGTACACTGCTTTGCAGAGCCATACAAAGCAGTGTGCTTACAGTGGAAAGCACAGACACAGCCTCATAGTAAAACTGCGCACAGTTAACCCTTTGATAGCCCCAGATATTAAACCCTTCATGCCCAGTGCCATTAGTGTAGTGTCAGTGCTTTTTATTAGCACTGATCATTGTATTGGTGTCACTGGGGATGTCAGTGACATCAAGTCAGTCTCCCCCATGTCAAAATGCCCGCCGCAGTCCCCTAGTCCTGCTATAAGTCGCTGATCGCAGCCATTACTAGTGAATTTTTTTTTTTATTTCAGTATATATACCGCCATTTGTAAACACTATAACGTTTACGTAAACCAATTAATTTACACATATTGTGATTATTTTTTTTTTAGCAAAGACGTAGCAGAATACATTTTGGCCTAAATTTATGACAAAATTAGATTTTTTAAATTTTTTTCATTGGACATATTTAATAGCAAAAAGTCAAAAATATTGTTTATTTCTCAAAATTGTCAGTTAAAGTAATGCAGCGCAGTAACACAAAAAATGCCCTGGTCAGGAAGGGGGGTAAATCCTCAGGAGGACAAGTGGTTAATAATAAAGAACCACACAACTGCTTTAACTGGTGTTTTTATATCACCCCAAAGGTCAGCTTTCAAAGTCAATAAATTACCCCATGCAGTCGAGGGGCCCCATTAGATATTACAGAACTGTGCAGCTCTGTAGTATGTTCAGTTAAATTGTTGCCATACATGTAGGCCATTTGGATCGCCCCAGAAGCCTGGCCTCCCAGTTAGCAACCCCCACTTCCTGTCTTATTGCTAGGACATGAAAACCATTGGATGCTCACAGGAGTTAAAACAACCGGTTCTGTATCCTAGCAACAAGACAGGAAGTGGAGGTTGCTACCTGGGAGGCCAGGCTTCTGGGGAGATCCAAATGGCTTACAGGTAAGACAAGAATATTACAAAGCAACTCCAAAATTGCAGCTTTTGTGAGATTTTGCTGGTCTGTAGTGAACAGGATCTACCCAAGATATTGAAAAAGAAAACATTTTGGGTGTTGTTTTTAAATTTCATTTTAAAGGGTTAGTTCACCTTTAGTGCAAACTGCCTATGTAGGTAAAGGGTGCCTTTAGATTAGAAAAAAAAGTGCAGCTCTAACTAAAGTTGAATAATGTCCTTGCTGTAGGTGTAGGTCACTTTCGTACCTCCTGAAGCCTGACTGGAGTACTCCCAGGAAGTTGCTAGGATGTTGCTAAGAGAGGCCTAGTCATTACTGCTCACCTCCCAGCTTTTCCTCTGATTCAAACCCCCTTATATGCTCTTTCTCCCTTCCTGTGATGATGGAGGTAAGCAGTATTGACTAGACCTCCCTTGGCAACGTCCTGGGAGTACTCCAGTCAGGCTTCATCAGGTATGTAAATGGCCTACACCTACAGCAAGGGCATTATTCAACTTTAGTCAGAGCTGCACAGTTTGTTTTATCTACAGATGCCTCTTGTCTGCATAGGTAGTTTTTGATTAAAGGCGAACTAACCCTTTAATAAAAATTATCTGTTTTTAGTCAGACATTGGGTCTAATATAACATAGGGTGTCATATATAGTATTATATATATTTTTCTTCAGGTTTTTTTTGTACTATTGGGTCTGTTGATTGGCACAGCACTTGTGGCTAGTATGCATATCATTTATTATTTGCATTCAAGATTGCGTCTGGCATAGTAGTACGTTTTTATATTTGTTTGATGTCATGTGATGGTTTGCAGTAAGGAACACAGTTTGCAGCCTTCAGTGCTGGAATTCTGCCAGGAGGCTGAGATTTAGCATGTTTGTCTGGTGTTTGGACAACCGGCAGCCAGGCGGCACTGTAGAAAAGACGCAAGTGTGTTGTCTATGGACCAATTTTGTATTCCAACTTACTTATGGCCTATGATGCATATATACCCACTGGATATGGTGACATCTACCTTTATGACGAAGCCCTACATGGGTGAAACATGTTTGACGGGCTTTCCTGATTGGTGGAGAGCCAGCTGAAGCCATTTTTCGTTCATTTGTTATGTGATACCCTATATCGGTGTGCGATCCTGCAAAACATTTGTGTCTATATGGACTGGCCTGACCTGCTCTTATCAGTGAACCAGCACCCAGCAACAGTGTTTGAATCAGTCAGTATACCTGACAGGAGCGTGCGATCAGTGCTGCTTTTTATTCAGTTTATATATCATAGTCTATTATAAATTTACATATAAATACATTTCATAGTGCTTAACAGGAAGGTCACCAAAAGGTTTTGTGATTGCAAATAATAGTAAAGCAGTATTAAACCCAAAAGTAAACATTTATTATATTGCAGCTTACCAAGTTTTAGAGATGTGATGGCTGCATTAATTTTCTTTTTTAGGTTTTCTTCTATTTTCATCTTAAAGAAATATATAAGCGAGCGCATACATGTAATTGTTAAATATTTATACCAGGTAGCCGCTAGCACTAAAGGGTATATACCAGTCCTAGTTAACGTATTCACAAATCTGAAAAGTGCAGCGCTCTCACAAATATATAATTGGCAATATATTCAGAAAAGGTAAAAAGTGCACAATATAAATAAAGTGCTATTCGTACAATCTGTGTAATGTGAAATCAATAAAAGTCTGTGATCTTCATATGATTTCAATAAATAAATAAGTAAAATAAATAGGTAATTCAACAAGCAATTAATTCAAGTTTAAAATGATTAATAATACGTGCACAATATGATATTAAAGTGCTATTTGTGCAATCTGTGCAATATGTGAAAATAAAAGTCTAGATAAATAAAAGTAATCCATGTGAAAAGTAAATAGGTACTGAAATGGCCACCGCTCCTTGCCCAGGAGACGACGGCGTGACGTCAGCAATTTTGCTCCACATTGCTGACGTCATGCCATCGTCTCCTGGGCAAGGAGCGGCGGCCATTTCGGTACCTATTTACTTTCCACATGGATTTCTTGTCTTCCCCCCAGCCCGGACACCACCCCCCATTGATTTCTCCGTCACATCCAACAACGCTACCATCAAACCCGCCCCGCAGGCCAGAGTACTGGGTGTCATTCTGGACTCCAACCTATCCTTCCAGCCCCAAGTCCAATCTTTAACAAACTCGTGCAGACTCCACCTCCGCAACATCGCCAAAATCCGCACGTTCCTAACCCCAGAAACCACTAAACAGCTCATCCACTCCCTCATCATATCACGACTCGACTACTGCAACTCCCTCCTCACTGGCCTGCCTCGCCGCTGCCTATCCCCTCTTCAGTCCATCCTGAACACGGCTGCCAGACTCATTCACCTTTCCAACCGCTCTGTCTCCGCCACCCCCCTCTGCCAATCCCTCCACTGGCTTCCGATTGCGCAACAGATCAAATTCAAAATCCTAACGCTGACGTACAAAGCTGTCCACCATACTGCCCCGAACTACATCTCTGACCTAATATCCAAGTACCGCCCAACACGCACACTCCGCTCCTCACAAGACCTCCTTCTCTCTAGTTCCCTGGTCTCCTCCTCCCATGCCCACCTCCAGGACTTCTCCAGGGTGTCACCCATCCTCTGGAACTCCCTGCCCCAACCCATCAGATTATCACCTACTCTCCTCTCCTTTAGGCGCACCCTGAAAACCCATCTCTTCAGGGAAGCCTACCCCACCCCCTGCTAACTTGCCTCCCTCCTCCACTCTTCCTACCACTCCATCCCCCACAGCTATCTCCTCCTGTGCCACCACCCCCTCCCTCCTAGATTGTAAGCTCGAAAGAGCAGGGCCCTTGATCCCCTCATGTTTTGCATTGTATTGGTATTGTTCTGTCACATGTTCTGTCTCCCTTTGTAATGTACAGCGCTGAGCGAACTATTGGCGCTTTATAAATACTGTATAATAATAATAATAATTACTTTTATTTATGTAGACTTACCTTTGAAATAATAAATACTACACTATATGAGAATCCTTTGGCTCCTGTGGTTAAGCAATCTTCCTCAGATTTAAGGAGGCACGCACCACCGGTACTGTGAGGATGCTGGATTAACCCTTAAACTGTCCTACTACACCTGCACCCAGATGTGACAGATTGTAACCAATGCCTGTATACATCAAAGTTCTGGTGAGTGCGCACCCATAAGAAGTGGTGGATAATTTTTAACCACCTCCCGTCCGGCCGTTGTATATAAACGGCCGGACGGTGGCACTGCAGGGTCGGGTGGCCGTCTATAAACGGCCTCCCCGCACCCTGCTTGTGCGCGCTCCATGGGAGCGCGCAGCACCGCGATCCGGTGCCCGCTGTGTCCTCCGGACACAGTGAAACACCGATCCTCGGACGGGACCTCTGTACGAGGTCCCGATCATGTGATCACTGATTGGCCAATCAGTGATCACATGCAAAGTAGTAAGTAAGATGTCACTTCTGACATCATTGCTTACTACGTGTCACATGGTACAAGGCTATTCACAAAAGCCTTGTACCATGTGACAAGCTGTGACCATTCACAGCTCACTCAGTACTTCTCAATGAGTGCAAGAATGCACACAGAGAGAAAGAGAAATGATTGCTTTTACCTCCTATATGGGTGTAAAAGCAATCAGTGTAAAAAAAAAATCTTCATCACCCCCCCACAAGTAGTACAGTGTCACCATGGTGACACTGTACTGCTAGGGTGACAGTATGTAAAAAAAATAAAAATAAAAAATAATAATATAAAAAAATACAATAAAAATGTTAAAAAAAATGTTTAAAAATTATAATTTTTGCTTATAAACTAATTTGGAATTTTTTTTTTTTTTTACTAAGAAGATAACGGAATAAATTTTGGCTAAGATTTATGATGAAATATTATTTATTTGCAAAATTTTATAAAAAAAAACACTTTTTTTCAAAATTTTTGGACATTTCATTTACATAGCAAAAAAAATACAAATCCCAGTGGTGAATAAATACCACCAAAATAAAGCTTTATCAAAAAAATGGTAAAAAATTCATTTGGGTACAGTGTTGCATGACCGCGCAATTGTCATTCAAAGTGTGATAGCGCTAAAAGCTGAAAATTGCCCTGGTCAGGAAGGGGGTAAAAGTGTCCGGTCTGGAAGTGGTTAAAGACACAAACACCATTGTACTTTGGGCGCAGGATTTTATCGCTTATTGAAGAAAGATTCCTGTTGAATTTCCCACTTTATTTTATATACCCATTGGAAATCATATGAATATTATGGACTTTTATTTTCACATATTGCACAAATAGCACTTTAATTTAATATCATATTGTGCACGTATTATTAATAATTGTAAACTTGAATTCATTACTTGTTAAATTACCTATTTATTTTACTTAATTATGTATTGAAATCATATGAAGAGCACAGACGTTTATTGGTTTGCACTAATAGTACTTTATTTATATTGTGCACTTTTTACCTTTACTGAATATATTGCCAATTATATATTTGTGAGAGCACTGCACTTTTCAGATTTCTATTTTCATCTGGTGATCCAGCCAGTAAGCCTGTTGTTTTTTCAAAAGAACAAGTTCTCTTGCAGTTACATGGATGAGGCAAACAATTTAACACTGGCAGAGGTGCTTACAATGGTCAGCTTCTATTTTTGGAAGACCTTTATCCCAAAAGGAAAACAAAATTGCTGTAACTGCTTATAAAGTATTAGCTGGAGTTAACTGGAAGTGACGTCATCACGCACAGTACTTCCGGAAGTGACGTCTTTGTACACCCAAGACCAAGTAGGAAGAGATTGTTAGCGACTGGTATGCATGTAGGAAAAGCTGGAATACATCTTAAAGTGGTGTTAAGTGATTTTAATAAGTGTTTGTCCCTTGGAGCAAGGGATAGCACTACTGAATGTGACTAGGATTACCTAGTTATTATTTCAATAACTGTCAATGGATTTACACTATGGCAAATCTTCCTTGTTTCCCATATGCTCCCTATATGTGTCACCTGTGAGTACAACTTAAACTTGATGAGAGGAGTGGTGGAGATCCTAGTGCCAATGTGGATGTTGGATCCCTTGTTGATAACAGGTGTTATATGACTTACCTGTAGTGGTGTGGTGGTGGTGGATCACTGAAACACTTGTGGAAGATTTCTAGCACTTTAGATTTTTTGCACAGCACAATAGCACTTTGTGGCATTGATTATGCACATATATGTAGCACCCTCCTAGTATAGCTAGGGGGAGCTAGATCCTAATGCTTAGACAGGAGCTGGTTAGCAGCTCAGGTACAGTAAGAGCCCATGTACACTAGCCTGGTCCCTGACGTTAAACACTCTTATGTTAATGTAGGAGGTAGATATTCTGCAAGGCCCTGGATCCCCAGACTACCACCGATGACAGGAGCTGGTTCCCATAGTCATCGGCCTTTATCACAGTCCTTACGCCGCTTCAAAGATAGAGAAAGGAACTGCTGACTATAAAAAGGCCTTGGGACAGTTTGTTAACCACTTGAGCACCTGAGGATTTACCCCCTTTAATGACCAGGCCTCTTTTTGCTACTCGGCGCTGCACTAATTCAACTGATAATTGCGCGGTCATGCAATGCTGCACCCAAACGAAATTTACGTCCTTTTTTTCACACAAATAGAGCTTTCTTTCGGTGTAATTTGATCACCTGTGCGCTTTTTATTTTTCACGCCATAAACAAAAAAAGGCCAAAAATTTTGAAGAAAAACAATATTTTTTACTTTCAGCTATAAAAAATATATAGTAAACTCAAAGTTGGTTATAAATTTAGGCCAAAATGTATTCTGCTCCATGTTTTTGGTAAAAAAAAAAAAATCCCAATAAGTGTATATTGATTGCTTTGTGTGGAAGTTATAGCGTCTACAAACTATGGTATAGATACTGCAATTTACGCCATTTTTCTGCTATACAGCGCTGCGCTAGTTTAACGGACAATTGCGCGGTCATGCAATACGGTACATAAATTAAATTTACATCCTTTTTTCCCCACAAATTGAGCTTTCTTTCGGTGGTATTTGATCGCCTGTGCGGTTTTTATTTTTTGCTCTATAAAAAAAAAGGCTGACAATTTTGAGGAAAAAAAAAAAACAATATTTTGGACTTTTTGCTATAAAACATGTCCAGTAAAAAAAATGCAAAAATCAAATTTAGTCATAAATTTCTGCCAAAATGCATTCTGCGACATGTCTTTGCTAAAAAAAAATCCCAATACGTGTAAATTAATTGGTTTACGTGAAAGTTATAGCGTTTACAAATGGCGGGAAAGATACTGGAATTTAAAATTTTTATTTATACTAATAATGGCGCCGATCAGCGACTTTTGGCGGCAATCAGCGACATATGGCGGCGACCAGCGACTTATGGCAGGACTGCGGGACAGCGGCGGACATTTTGACACTGGGGGGGGAACTGACTTGGGGTCACTGACATCCCCAGTGACACCAATACAGTGATCAGTGAAAAAAAAACACTGAAACTGTACTGATGTCACTGGGGAGGAAGGGGTTAACATTTTTAGAATTTGCAGTGTAAGGGGAGTGTTTTACTAGGGGGCGGGGGGGTGTGTACTGGACGGGGGGGGGGGGGGGGGGGGGGAGGGAGGGAGGGGGGAGCTGATGAGGGAGAGAAACTCTGCAGCTTCTCACAAGCTGTCAGAGAACTGACACAGAACAGGGCTGTGTGTAAACAATGCAGCCCTGCTCTGTGTTAGCGATCACCGGCAATCGCGAGAAAACGGCCGGTAAAAACCGGCCGTGACCCGTCGGCTGACACCCGCAGGACAGGTAGGGCGGGCGCGCGCCCCCTACCTGTTTTGAAGGCAGCCGTTTTAAAACGTGCTTTTGCCTACGAGCGCCGCCCTGCCACCGTTTATATGCGGTGGCTGGGCGGCAAGTGGTTAAGTCTTCCAACACAAAGACCATTACATCCCATATACAGACCCCCCCCCAATGCATTTCATTCAGTCAGTAGCTTACTCATAAGATATACAGTATACCCTATGAGTAAGCTCCTGACCGAGTGCAATGCGTTTGGAGAGGGTCTATCTATTGGTTGCATTAGTCTTTGTGTTGGAAGACAAACTGTTCTGATGCTTTTAGAAGATGAGCGGTTCCTCCTTTTAGAGCTTTCTATACACCCATGTTAAAGTGCATTGGTACCCGAGTTAACGCACGTTGCATTTGGAAGCACGTTTATTTGAATAGGCTGCCCAACACATCACAACAGACCAAAAATCATGCATGCAGCAATTTTACCACATTAATGTTTTGCTGCTTATTGAACTGCAACTCAAGTGTGCTGAGAAGGTGCATTGGAAGGCTATTCAGAATGATTGGCACCACATTGCATTGAATTATTGCAAACATTACCACATCTCAATGGTGAGAATAGGGTACCTGATGGTATTGCATTTGACAAATAGCAGTAGGTGAGGCTTAATGGAGAGGGGGCAGAATTTTGTGTTAACATAAGCCCAGCATGGATACAGCGTTCCTGAGGCCTCACAAGGTCAATGGAATCATTCTGAAGACCAACACAGGTACCTGTAGACCACAGCACTGTTGTTACCTTTTGCATCATTTTAGGCCAGCTCAGGTTTAGATTCAAACACTTGACCTGACGACATTGTACAATACTGTAAATGTCTTCAGCTGACAACTGAACAGATCATGTCTTCAAGGTGCGTGTGTGGTGGGGGGGGGGGGGGGCATAGAAAAATGCAGTTTGACGATGGTGGAAGACAAAGGGTCTGCTAGTGACCACACCTGCCAACTTTGATAAGAAAATTAATCCTGGACTCCAGTGCAATGTAGTACCTTAAGGTATTAAAATGTATTAAAGTATATGTAAACTATACAACATCTCATATAAGCTGTAAACTTTTATTGTATTTTCAAAGTCATTTTTAAATTTGAAGCTTTCATTGAAATAATTCCTGGTGATCCTGCCACAAAAGTCTTTGTTCAGGCACTCCCTGTTATTGGGTGACGCTCTGTTTGCTAACTGTAGCCCAACACAGTCACCCTGTCACTGGGCCTTTTACGGAGGAGAAATTAGAGAGATGAGAGATGTTATGCAGACATGGCTGAAGTGCATGCATATGGACAAGAAGGGGCTGCAGAAAGTCAGCTCAGTCACACAGTTGCAGAATAGAATGATGCACAGAAGAAAACAAGCACTTGTACTATGTTTAAAAAAAAATGGCATGGTTTATTATACACTTTTGCAAACTGTTAACTGGGCCATTAGCTGTCCTTGGGCACATGGAATTTATTTGGGGCTCTCTTCTGAACCACCCCAGACCCTTTTTGTCCAGCCCCCTCTAGGGGCACAGCCTTTGACCTCACCAACTGATTTTGGAACAACTCCTGCTGTATCTCTGGGCTGCTCTGCATGTAATAGCTGCAGGTTTCATAGACTGGTGTTAGGGTCTCTGCCCTCTTCTCTTTCTGGCCACTCGTAAAACACATGGCCCCAAAGGAGCTGTACTCATCTCAACTTCTAGATGTGGGCAGCACAGTGTCTAAATGGTTAGCACTTACACCTGGCAGTACTGGGGTCATTGGTTCAAATCCCAACCACAGCACTACCTGCCTGGAGTTTGCATGTTCTTCCTGTGCCTGCGTGGATTTTCTCCCACACTCCAAAGACATGCTGGTAGGTTAATTGGATCCAGTCTAAATTGTGAGTTAGAGATCTTAGATTGTACACCCCGTGAGGGTTAGGGATGTGTATGTACTATATAAAGTTGTGCTCAAAAGTTTGCATACCCTGGCTGAAATTGTGAAATTTTGGTATTGATATTGAAAATATGACTGATCATGCCAAACAATGCTCTTTTATTGAAGGATGATGATCATACGAAGCCATTTATTATCAAATAGTTGTTTGGCTCCTTTTTAAATCATAATAACAGAAATCACCCAAATGGCCATGATCAAAAGTTTATATACCCTGGAATGTTTGGCCTTGGTACAGACACACAAGGTGACACACACGGGTTAAAATGCCAATTAGAGTTTAATGTCCCACATCGGTGGCTTTTTAATTTGCAATTATTGTCAGTGTATAAATAGTTTGTTAGCTCTTACGTGGAAGCACTGACTAGGCTAGAGACTGAGCCATGGGGATCAGAAAATAACTGTCAAAAGTCCTGCGTAACAAGGTAATGGAACTTTATAAAGATGGAAAAGGACATAAAAAGATGTCCAAGAATGTGTACATTTGGAAATGCTGTGCAGCTAAAAGTGACCCATTGGCTGAGCCAAATGAAGACAGAGCTCAAGACGGAGTGGGTGTGCAGGAACCCTTCACCCAGTGTCATGGCTGAGTATAGTGCTGAAGAGGATGGGTGTGTGGATGAATACAGCTTCATTCTGATAAAGGGACTGTAGGTGAGTGCATGCTTGTACATGCTTGAGTAAATGTATATTAGGGATGTGAGTGAATACCTACACTGGGCTTGGTGTGAGTGAAAGGACTAAGTGTGAAGGCATTCTTGCCCAGGACTGACTGTAAAGGTATGCTTGCTCAGGGCTGAGTCTGTGGTTGTGCTTGCTCAGAAGTTCAAACGATTGCTGGAACTAATCTGATAGTACATTAGGAACTTATTGATGGTACTTTTATGAATAATGCACACATTCTCTTGCTACACCCAAATTTCAAATTAAAAGAGCATTTATAAATATACATAAAACATTTATTTAACATAAATCTGGATGACTATTTCCCTGAAAGCCCATCTGTAGATGTACATAAAGCTTCCTCCACTTATTACTGCCCCTTGCCATGATGTCATCATGCCCATGATGGAGTTGGCAGAACTGCTGAGGATGCCACTGTTGGGTGGCATGTTGAAGGAGGCACCCATGTCACCAGGCAGAGCTGTGGCCACCCACAGAAGGACACTCCCACACTGCAGTATCAGAATATAGGAGACCTGGTGCATCATGTGATAGCAGAATTAGGTGGGAAAATTGGGCTTTTTATATATATATTTATTTTTTATTTTACTCAGAAATTAGTCAGATGGGGTTGGAAATGAGGAGGTGGGCAGCTGCACACACAATAGCTTTAAATATATTATTACATCATACTTTGGGGGTTTCAGCTTGAAAAATATCATTACAACATACATTTTAGGTCTTGTCCTGGAAATGTTGAACAACCACCAGCGTAGTTTATAAAGTTTAGTCAGGAAATCCATCTATGGGTCTGTTCTACATATTGTCTTGGTCCAGACCCCAGCCACTGGACACACCTGTTAAAGTATTTGCTATTCTTCTTTCAATTGTAAATGCAGTCCCTGGTTTTATATATTCTAAATAAACTTGATATACACATATATGTTTAGTGCAGCTTGTGTGATCTGTTTACTGTCATTTGTATTCTCTTCAGCTTTAATTTGTTTGGACAATTTCCCCTGAGTACTGTGTATTAGATTGGTTAGGAATTTGTCTGTATTCTTAAATGCATAGTTCACCTTCACCCTGCTATAGGGGTAGGCTGTTTCATACCTCATGAAGCCTGACTAAAAAACTCCCAGAGATGGTATCATCCCATGCTGGCTTGTTGCTAGGATGTAGCTAGGAGAGGTCTAGCTGTTACTGTTAACATCCACCAGTACAGGAGTGAGCTCTTTCTCTCATTCATACATGCTCCTTCTTTCCCCTGATGTAGTAGCTCTGAGCTCAGCATATGAGAGCTTGTTCCTATGATGGCGGGGATGAACAATAACAGCTGGGCATGTTTTAGCAACATCCTAGCAACGAGGCAGAACAGGGGGATGCCATCAGACTTCATGAGCGGAGTAAATGGCTATACCTATAGCAGTGTTTCTCAACTCCAGTCCTCATGGACCCCCAACAGGTCATGTTTTCAGGATTTCCCTCAGATGAAACAGCTGTGGTAATTACTAAGGCAGTGAAACTGATCAAATCACCTGTGCAAAATAATGGAAATCCTGAAAACATGACCTGTTGGGGGTCCATGAGGACTGGAGTTGAGAAACACTGACCTATAGCAAGTGCATTATTCAACTTTGGTGCAAGCTGAATAGTTTGATTTTATCTACAGACACCCCTTATCGTCAAAGGTAGTTTTTTTGGTAAAGGTAAAGGTAAATTGTTTTTTAAACAATACAGGTCAAGAACACACTACTATATTGCTGATTGGACAATGAAGGAGTCTTCACAGTTACGCTGCATCTGCCCCATCAGTATATTCTCTGTGTTAAAGTGGGAGTAAACCCTTCATCACAAAGTGTGATGAAGGGTTTGCCATAAAGTGTTAGTAGGTGCAGCATATTAGCACATTGTGGTAGATCCCCTCCAAAGCTGTGATGTCCACACTCCACTCCGCTGCTGACGCTTTTATGTTCTCCCACTCTTCTTCCGGGTTTAGATTTTTCGGCTTCTTGACTGGCTGGGCTGAGATGACATACCTCCTGCACATGTGCGAGGGAGTTAATTCGTCTCTTCACACAACCGTGCTGTACACTGAACAGCACATGTGCAAATCATGTTACACAAATGATGCCAGGCAGGGAGAAGCCGTTGTGGCAGATGAAACATGCCGTGTCTCTTCTATCATGGAACCCTACCTGTTAGCATTATTTTTAAATTTGACTTTAATTCAGCTTTAACCATGAGTAGCATGTTTATTGACTACAAGGTTTGACCTTCCCCTTCCCTGTCCGAGTCTTGCCATGCATAGATTTACTTAGAGCTAATATAAAGACAAATGTGGGAACTTCTACCAATTACATTATACAATATATGTAATTGTTTTATTTTAAATGTGTAATTGCATTAAATAATCTTTATTTCAGATTTAAAGTGCACCTGTTACCTATGGACAAAATATTTACATATTCCTAACAAGCAGCAAAAGGGTTGGGAG